GATGGGAGCCAGTAGAAAAGAGAAAACAGTTGGCTTGCCTCTAAAATTTTGCAAAGAGATGACTTTAGGTAAAAGTAATTCTGGGTAATAACATGATTCTTGAATAAAAACTAAAATTTTCAAAATAGAAAGCATTGCATCATAAAGATATTAAATCCAGTCGGCTTATTGGTTTCATTTAAATGCCAGAGATTTCATTGCTGTAGAGGAGATATCTTATAGCTCTTCTATTTAAACTTTGGTTGGGCTCTTAATTTTTTAAGAGGTAGGATAATTAAGACTCATGATGAGTATGACTTTGTAACTTGTAAGTACTATCTTCACTTTTCAAGATATTTAAGGATTGCTTTAGAATAAACAAATATGTGAATTAAAGTACTTACAAAGCATGTAAGTGCTTGTGTAAACTTATAGTCTGTTTGGTGATGTAAGGAAAACCTGATTGATGTTACACACCAGTTAGTAGATGGGCAGTATTGGATGAGAGCCCAAAAACGGTTGTTTATTGTCATTCTTTAGGATTACAACACAGTTTATGTATGTCTCACTTGGCCCTTTCTAATACAAATAAGGCCTGTGTATATTCTCCCTATGTATTGCTAATGAAGAAATGAAGACTTAGAGATATCGCATGTCTGTGGAAGACAGCTACTCAACAGAACTAACATTCTATGTCCTCAGAATGATATGGAAGTGACAGATATGCTGAATTTACTTTTAAAAAATTTTTAAAACTCTAGAATACATTTTATATTTTGCCTATAAAATAGACCTGTCTTTTAAAACTTACTGCCATCTCGATTTATTTTATGCAAAGTTGATTTTACACAACTCAAAGCCGACATTTACCTCTTCATTTTTTTTTTTTTAATAAAGGAGGGTGTCACTATGTTACACATGCTGGCCTCAAATTCCTGACCTGGGTTCAAGTGATTTTCCCATCTCGGCCTCCTGAGTAGCTGGGACTACAAGCATGTGCCATCTTGCCTGGCTCTCTCTTATATCCATACATTCATTTCAATGGATAAGAATAAAGGGAGAGGTAGTGACATAGCTTAAATGCAGCAGTTGAATAAACGAATTGATAAATTCTTATAAACGATTACATCTTTTTTTCCTTTCTCCCTCTATGCATATAGCTTTGGAGTTTAACCCTCCTGCCAATCCAGAGGCAACCACAATATTCCACAGGAACTCTCAAACAGATGGTGAGACAATGTTGTTTTTTCCACCAAGAGAAAGAGTAAAAACTCTTGTTTGATCAGGTGTATTATAGGAAGTATTTAGAAAAACTCATACTGGTTTAAATTTTTCAACTTTTCACATATTCACTTGTCTTATTTTAATGTGTGATATACTTTCCTTTAGTTGTTACCATTTTAGTGAAAACATGTAAACTTTTTGTTTATACATTTTGCCATCTTTTTATCAACACAATTAATTTGTCATGTGACGGAGGAGTCACGGATTTCTCTTTATTCATAATTCTTGGTCCCTTTTCCTTTGCTCCAAAGAGTACATTTTAAAGACGAATGATAGAACTTAGGCTTCAGCTTGGTTTTCATTTAAACAAATTAAAAACATAGCTGTTTATCATCGGGGATTGAATCTGTGATTTGGGCCTCCTCTCACACAGTCCTCTGACCACATTCACTTACCACATCCAAGTTCATGCTACTCAAAACTTTTAAGTTATTAACCTTTTCCTTTGATGTAATGTCAATTTAAACATGCCCTACTCTTGCTTATTTTTCTTAATGTTATGTTAAATCCTCATTTATTTGCTAAAAAGCCATACACAGCCAAGTTTTCCAGTTGACTTAAACAGCAAGAATACAAGTGAGGGTTCTATAATAATATGTGAAGTAATGCAGCACAGTAAAATATGGGAGTTTCTAACTTCGTTTTTATAGTTTGAGTAGACTTTGCCCATCCTGAGTCAGTTATTTCTGGTTAGAATTTGTGTTCATTTTTTACATTACTGTAAACAGATACCTAAGGCTGGGTAATTTATAACAAAAAGAGGTTTAATCGGCTCATAGATCTTCAGGCTGTACAAACATGGCTTCAACATCTGCTTCTGGAGAGGGCCTCAGCAAGCTTACAATCATGATAGAAGGCAGAGGGGAAGCAGGTGATTCCACACGGTGAAAGAGGGAGGAGAGAGGGGAAGGGGGAAGGTGCCACACTCTTTTTTTTTTTTTTTTTTTGAAATGAAGTCTTGCTCTGTTGCCCAGGCTGGAGTGCAATGGTGTGATCTCAGCTCACTACAACCTCTACCTCCCAGGTTCAAGCAATTATCCTGCCTCAGCCTCCTGAGTAGCTGGGACTATAGGCGGGCACCACAACACCTGGCTAATTTTTGTATGTTTGGTAGAGACAGGTTTTCACCATGTTGACCAGGTAGGTCTCGAACTCCTGACCTCAGGTCATCTGCCCGCTTCAGCCTCCCAAAGTGCTGGAATTACAGGCTTGAACCACCACACCCGGCCGGTACTACAGTCTTTTAAACTACCATAATGACAATTTGCTTATTACCATGGGGATGGGACCAAGCTATTCATAAGGAATCCCCCGCCATTACCCAAACACTTCCCACTAGGCCCTGTCTCTAACATTAAGGGTCATATGTTAACATGAGGTTTGGAGGGGGAACATATCCAAAACATATCAGAATTGTATTTCCCAG